TTCAGCCTCTGGCGCTCCTCCTGAACAGCTGAAAAGACGCATGATGCTACAGGCAGCGGAGCAAGCAACTTCGGCAAACGGCGTACCTTCCCTCTTCATGCCCATTAGTAAGCACTTCTGGTAACGACAATACTGGCAACGATTGCGCTGGCGCTTGTCGATCACACACTGTCGTGCCTCGCGACAACTGTACGTCAGGTCCTTGCGCACGGTTCGTTTGAAGAAGCCCTTGCAGCCTTCACAACTGAAAATAATGCGTCAGAACGTTACCGGCTGGAGTACATGATTTGACCGCAGTGTACCTGTGAACACCGTAGTGCCTACCGGATGCGCGATCGCCACAGATGCTGCACATATGCTTGGCCATGCCAAGGGGGTGCATCGGTGGATACCGGCCGACGGTCGACGACACAGTGACCACTATGCCTAGCGGCGACGGAACACGGCTGCACTGTGTTGATACGACGCAACCTTCATCTTCTACGCTTGGCCTGAACACGTCGTGTGGCTTTGGCCGTTCTACTGCTAGGCGTGCGGTGGAGTCGACAGCTACCTCCAATGGCGTAACTGCATCCGCTGTCGCCGTACTCACTACAGTGCTCATGGATGAACATATTCTCTCAGAACCATTTTCAACTTCAAGCAACGAGCCTAAACTTTTTGCAAATGAGCTGAGTAAGTGTCGATAACTTTTCGCATTCAAGTTCATCATATTTTGGGCTTGTCACAGGTAAAAGACGGCAAGGTTAAAGGCAAACGTACGTTGGTGACGATAATAATAAACGAGAAGCCGTTTCAAGTCCTTAACGTCTCCTCGGCATGTTTTGTAGTTAACGACGAGGTAAACAATCAAGAATAACCGCAACCCAGTCATTGTATGTAATGCAACCCAATGGCACGGGTCATTGACAAGTAGAGCAGGCCATCAGGCTGGTGCCATGCTCCACGAGCATCAGTGTTGATGATGCATCAATTTTCTGCTATGCCGTTTCTGTACGCCATACAAACGAAATCGCATCACCGCCCACCCGCTTATGCTTGAGGCTACCTCAGGGCCTTAACTGACCTCAAAATCCCAATTGACGCGCACAACTCTGGCAGAGCTGATTGAAATTGCTGTAATGCGGTTAACGATTACCGCGATCTAGTTCATAGCACTGGTAAGGTTACCCATATTCGTTAAGTCCGCATGATCCAAACTGTGGTGATTGTTTCTACAAGCGCCGGTCCGACTTCGCTCATTGTTCCAAAAGTGGAAAGAAAGAAGAAGGCAGATCATTGCTACTTTCATAAGTATGTATATCCAAAGAAAACCTAGCAGTAGCCTTAGTCAAATCAGTTATGCTTTTGGCTATGCACCCTCATTCAAGTTTAATAAGCGACAAAACAACAGAGGATTCAGACCTCGTTTATACATGGCTAAGCGCTGATCAGCAACAATATTTCCCACG